GTTAGGAGGACTGACACTGGGCCCAAGAAGAAGTGAAGCATGCAGCCTCACTGGAATACCAGGGGATCCAATAAAAGCGAAAACGAACAAGTCCTAGTCCTCCCTTAGTCAGTCTGCAGAACCTTCATCATCCCATGGGCAGAGGTAGCCTAACCCATCACCTCAACTGGGAGTGAGACAGCCAGGGTGCAGGGCCCGATGGGGTGAGCTCAGCCCCTTCAAACCAGCAGCCCTCTCAGCCTCAATGCAGACAATTCTGAGGATGGTGCAGCCTGGCCAGCTTCAACAGCAAGGAGTTTCCCTGGTGTGTGATTTACAGGGACAATGAGCTTGAGTAGACACCACTGAGTTTATAGCTATGCTGGAGTGACACTTCCTGGTGTCACAGTGCTGGCTGAAGGAGGACAGTGCAAGAGTCTGATGTGGCTTCAGCCTCCCTCCAAGGATTGGAGTTAACTTGGGGGTAATGGCACCTGCAGACCTGATCGGTTCCTGACTGACTCTGGTTTCTCCAGATTATCTGGATTGTGGTTCTGGAAAACCATGGTTAAGAACAAGACTAGAACCAGCCAGAGACAGTCCCTGGTGATGTGTGCTCTCACGGCTCCTGTGAGTTCTACTGTAGACCTCTCATCACACTGTGATAAGAGTCTGGTGTTCCTAAGAGAAGAACCATGGGCCATGTCTGCAACCCCACACGACCCTTTCTGTTCTGTGATACTGCTGCATCAGTGAACAGGAAGATAGTGCAGATGTTGAGAGAACAGACACTGGTCCCCAAATCCTGGATTTGAGTCAGATAATACTGTATGTAGATGTGCAATGTAGCTGTACGTGTGTGTGCAGACGGTCCTCAACTTATGATGGTTCAGCTTTGCAATGTTGTGGCAGGAACACATGTTTGAAGAAAACAGATTTCTAAATTGTGAATTTGATCTTTTCCTTGGATAGTAATAAGAAGTCTACACCCCCAATACTGGGCGGCAGCTCCTCGTTAGCTCCTGGTCACCCATCGTCAGGGTGAGCAACAGACATGCCATGGTGCATTGTGCTACTAAGCCACAATGAACTGTAGGCTGTCCACTGCATGCATTTTTGACTTCTGACATTTTCAACTCAGGATGGGTTTGGGGACATGCGTTCACAAGGAGCATCTGCATACGTAATATGCATTGGGTGGATGGATGGATGGATGGATGGACGGACGGACAGATGAGGGCAGCCTTGGGCAAGTCTTGCCCTCTCTGTGTCTTAGTTTCTCCAGGTATAAAAAAGCAGTTGATGTGATGATTTAAGGAGCTAAGGTAATTTACAATATTCTCAGACCTGAGCCTGGCACACAGCAAGACCAGGTGAATGTCACCTACTACAATTTCCTGTACAGGTGAGAGTATTAAAAGGCTCTTGGCTGAAGAACACCACCAATTTTCTTGCTGGCAACTTTTGTCCAATAAAGCATGCGACCTAAAGGGGGTGGGAAGATACTCTCCCCACAGGGCTCAAATAAAGGGATTTCCATTTTACACGTAAAAACATTGTGACTGTTAGACATCTGCATTTTTCCTTACAAATTTGGATCTCAGGTATAAAAGCCAGTCTTCTGACTTAACCTTCTCAGGAAAGAAGCTACGTTTGATCCCTACTATTTACCGCAGTGTCTGGAACAAAACAGGAGAAGGGAGGAATTGAGGGAGCCAAGGAGGGAGGTATATTTAGTAACCAGCTTTCCAGATGAGCTGTTGAATATTCATTAGACGCAGTGATTTTGGGTTCCTACTCATCAGACAGATTTAAACCAGAACAAGTGCCACATTACTTTACAAACAGTAGATTCTCCACTGCTGGGATTCATGTGGAAGCAAGGGACCTGAGCCTGAACCGGCGAGCCACACAGCACAGCATTCCTCACTCAGCGACTGCAAAGCCCCCAGAAGCCAACTCAGGCCTGCTTCCCACCCCTCTCAGCTTTCCCTTGGCTGTCCCCCTGAAAACCTTGTTTGCTCCCATTGCTTCTCAAGTAGAAAGAACCTCTTCACTCCAGCAAACCAGCTGGGGCTGCAGGGTTCCTACGACAGGGACCTTGCAGTTTGGAAACCAGGACAGTCCTGGGAAAGGGAGATACAAAAACAAAACAAACTTTTCTGGGCCTCAGGGGGAGTTCTAGAACTAGAGACTACAGAGATCCTTGCCAACTGAGCTGGACTGCAGTCTATCACAGGGGTCAGGAGGCATGCCAGGAGCTGCAGAAAGAGCGAGCTACAGTTGCCCATCCCTGGGTGATTTCACTTCGTCTCAAGTCAGAGGGCTCTGACAGGGTACCAGAAACAAATACATATTTCTCACAATTCTGGGAGCCCAAGTCCAAGATCAGGGTGTGACCTTGACAGGTTATCGGTTACAGCCTTTTCCTCACTCTCTGATTGATTCCTGGCTCTCTGACAGCTATGTTCTCCTTGTGTGTCACACAAGGATAGCATCGTCTTGTAAGGCCACTGACCCTGAAACTGGAGTTTTGGACCCAAGACCCAAACTCCCAAGAGTCCATATGCCAGGTCCTGCCACCCGCCCCCAAACACCAAATAAAGAGGCCTGGTGAAGGCAGAGAAAAGAGGTTTATTATGAGACTTGGGATGTGCCATGGGAAGAGGCATTCAGTTCATCTTCAGTCATCTCTGGGGTACAGACATGAGTTATAGGCTTAAATAGACAACAGAACTGAGGGCAAGGGACAAAGGTATGCATAAACAGTCCCAGTCACAGATATGGTCGGGTTGGATATTAATTAGGTCAGTCCTTGTTCTGGGAGAGGTTCCGAGTTGTTATGTGGGGCCAGGCAGGTGGTCAGTCCATCCACCTGCATTGTCCCTTGTCATGAAGATGTTATCTGTCTTTCCTGGGATTCAAGGTGACTGCAAAGTAACTGCAGAGAGAACGGCTTAGAGCAAAGATGGACACAAGAATAGAGGACATAGGCCATGCTTCTCTCCTGCTTTTAGTTAATTTGTGGGTCTGAGTAAGGAGTCCATGCTTTTTAGCTAAAGCAGTATAAGCACCTCTTACAATCCCACTCAAAGGGTCCCACCTCCCAGTACTATCTATCACACTGGGGGTTGGGGTTTCACCTACAAATTTGGGGACACATTCAGTTCATTGCACCTTGACATAAGATGAGAAAAAGTGAGATTCGGCATGGTCCTTTGTTGCTAATTATGTTAATTCTTTCTTTTACAGTTAATCTCCAGCACACATAAGGCATTGAACTATTTGTTATTGACATATAACAACACATAGAGCAAAACTGCACACATCACGTGCTCAATCAGTGAATTATATAGGGAAAATACCCATGTGATCACCCACCAAAGAACATCCATCTAGGGAACAATTTTCTTTCTCTTCCTTGAAACACTGATTCTTGACATCTGGATTCTGTATGTCCTTGAGCAAACCTAAACGGATGCCAGAATTCCTTATAGCATCAAAGGAAAATCACTAACTTCTAGCAGTCTGGCCAGTCCAGACTGCTTGTCCGGGATGGAAAAATGTTACATATTTAAAGTTAATCTTTTAGATATAAGAGATATATGTGTCTGCATGCATGTTTTCTTCCTTTTCTGTGGATTTACTTTGCTTCATCAGTGGTTTATCACTCCAGTCTACATGCAGCTGCAAGCCATGGAAGGCACATTAGCCACTGGGCTAATAAGGAATATATCATTTGGATGATATGATGCTATAAATGTTGCAGAAAGGATGGTGGCAGCTCTATCATACACATCTTTCTTTCCAAACAGCAAGAAACTGAGGCCATTTGATTGCCACCTATGGCAGGCTAAAGGGAGTCCAGAAGGTCCCTGTGTGGGCACAGATCAATTAAGCAGAGCACTCCCTGGAACTGCTTTCTCAGCCAGGATAGAAAAATAACTGATCTCAAGTCAAACTATACCTTAGTCTGAAAGAGTCTATAGGTCAGTCTGGCCCAAGGCCATTACCACTTCATTTGCTAAGTGATGTGGGGAGCTACTTACTTTTTGTGGAAGGAGATTCTCCAGGGGGGTGTTGTGTGGTTAATACCTGGGTGTGGAGGTACGAAGGGGTGTCTGGCTCACCTGCCTGGCTGGAAACGGATGTCTGCCCCACCAGTGGGTGGCAGGCCCAGTGTGGACTTTATGAATTTCCTGGGAAGAAACAGATGCTGAGGCTCACCCAAGACAATTACTCCCGTTAAACAATGTCCATTGAAGTTCCACTGTTTTGACTGAGCTTCTGCACAAGGCCCCACTACACCAGACCAAATCAGAACTAGTGCTAAGTGCCTGGTAGCCAAACCGAATTTTGAAATAAAAAGCTGTGGAGTTTCCAGTCCATCGGTAAGTCAGCATAGTGAGGAAGTCCTCTCTGTTTCATCCATGCACTAAATGAATGCTAGGAGGGATCTTTGTCAATCCCCTTTTTATTTTTGCTTTCTTCAGCCCCTTTCTACATATACAGCCAACCTCCTCTGCTCAGCACTTTGGGACACTCAATCTATCTACCCATTGCAGAACAGGCCAATTAGGCCTTTGAACTAAATCTGTTGTCATCTTGCCTCCGACACGCAGTATCTGGAGGTGGAGGCCAGGATCAGGGCAGGTCGGAGGCTCCCTGATCGGAGCGCGAGAGCACTGCACAGGACCTCCTCCTTTAAGAAAGGCATCCAAAGCCCACACCTGCTGCGGAAGGGCTGACCCTGACCCCTGGGGGACCTACAGGCAGAACCCAGGATACTGGGAGCCAAACCGATTGCACGTATCGTCGCAATCACCCCACCTATGTCCAGCCCTAAAGAACAAGCGCAAGAAGCCCAAAGAGCAGGCTAATCTCAGCCCTACGCAAGCAGCATCTACAGGCGTGGACCAGTCAAGGGAGGCGTGCGCATGCGCAGGCTGACGCCGACGCGCATGCGCAGCCTCAGAGGCGGGGCTTCCGGTCGTTGGGGCGGAACCTGAGGGCGTAGCGGGCGGAGTCTGGCCACGACCACGACCCTGACCCGGCGGCGGCGAGGACCGCGACCTGCTCGCACATGGCTCGACACGTGTTCCTCACCGGGCCGCCAGGTGACCGCGGGGGCCGCGCTCGGGGCCGGGCGTGACGAGACGAGAGCAGAGCGGGTCAGGTGTGCGGCCCACGAAGCTTCGGCCCCAGTGTGTGGTGTGGACGAGCCTCGTTCGCCCTGGACTGACGTGGGGCCCCGCAGGGGATCCGGAGGCCGCAGGTGTCACCGACACCCGAGCTCGTGTGGGCAACCTTGCGCCACTCCGCCCCTAGACCCACGCCGCGCCCCAGGCCCCGCCCCCCCGCGCCAGGCTCCGCCTCCCGCGCCAGGCTCCGCCCACTCCCAGGGCGGCGTGAGGCTGCAAAGTGCGGGGTCTGTGCATGTGTGCCGGTCCCCACGCCTCCCTGATACTTGGGCCTTAAATCGGGAGGGGAAGGTGAGGGAGGGGTGGGGGGGTTGAGTTTAGTGCTGCAGGTTTCATTGCATCAGGCAGCAGGGTGGGGTGTGAGGATAGCCTGGGAACCCCAGGGGCGCTCGCCCAGCTCAGTGCACAGACCCAGCCTCTGGGCCTCAGAAAGCTGGTGTGCCAGCTGTGTTTGGGCTGCCCCTGCATGCTTAACAGGCCGTCTCCACACATCCGGGTCCTGCTGAGGGAACCTTTTTGGTGCTGGTTGCTTCTCCCTCCTTTATCAAAGGGTCAGGTTCATTGTGGGGATCTCGAACAGAGACACACGGGACACCGAGGCAATTCAGCAGGAAGCAACGTTTTATTGTGCGGGCACAGACTCAGTGGACTCGAGTCCAAAGGCCGAGCTCAGAGAACAAGGGGGCTTACTTTATATACCCTTGCAAGCAGGTTACAGAAGCAAAAACCAAAGTTTAACCCGTATATGGTTGCATGCAACTCTATTGGCTATGCTACGTGACCTCCTTCATGTTTAGATTCTTTAAGTTTTATTTTTCTGCTATGCCATCCCTTCCCCCCTGCTGCAGGTTCACATAGGCTTTATTACCCTCCAGGGCAGCACTGTCCAGCCTGCCCTGAAACTCACACGCCTGTGTCTCCTGTCGTCTTCCTGTAGTTATGAAATTTTCATTGGCTCCATAGTCAGTGTTTACTGTTGCATCATTAAAAAGCTACTCGGAGCAGAGCCATCAGCCACCCTTAATTTCTTTATACACATCACCCCACATCCTTTGGAGTTTTGGTCCTGCCCTTGCATTTGTTAGTTTCTTTTCATCACCAGCTCTATCCCCATTTCTGCCTGTCCAGATTGTCCACACATTCAGATCATCAGCAAGGTGACTGTCTTCTTACTGAGTTCTGCCAGTGCCCAGCCACTTAGCATTTTCTAACTTTCAGTGTAGTACCTGTGACTCACCTTAGGGGCTCTCTCTGCCTGCACATGGGGAAGAGCCAAGAGCCCCTGACCCAAGGACCTTCAGCCCATGACTAGGGAGAGTTAGGGATGAACCTCATTTTCATATGAGGATAGCTCTGAGCAGAGCCATGCAGCATGCCAACTGTCCCCTAGGGTTCCCCAGAGGGGTTGAGCTCCAGCTGTCCACAGTGTAAGTTGCTGGGAAGGCATCGCATGTTGGTGTCCTTCCCAACCAGTATGTCACTTCCAAGTTCATCTGTCTGGCCTCCAATCTGTCTGAGGGTCTGCTTAGGAAAGAGCCAGAGCCAAAGTAATTAGGAGGGTTCTGACCCGCTCTTGCCTGTGTATGGTATGCAGCTGTCAGGGTGCAGTGTCTTTCAGCCTCTGTCACTTCTTAGCCCATGTAGCAGCTCAACTAACAGAGGTGAAAGTCAGCCGGAAGGAGGTTTCTAGAGCTGAAGAAGCAAACGGGGGCCAGTATAAGAGCAACCACCACCAAATTATGAAAACTTAAGAAAATGACACTCACATGGAACTCAACCCACAGAGACGGGCACTGAAGCCTCTGTGCTCTGGACATTGTCTTTTGTAGACATATATACACATTGCCTTAAAGAATGGGATAATACTGTTATTTTTTCTGTTGTAACTTGACTTTCTCCATGTATTATTTTCATATGTCGTGCCCATGTTTCATACTAATAACTGTAAGTAAACGGAAGGCCTTTTGTGCTCTGTATGGTTCCAGCTACATGGTCATGGGGACTCATTGGCTGGAACCCTCTTGGGCTGCCATCCCTGTAGAGACCATTATCTCAGTGTGGAATTTGGAGGAGAGATACATGAAATAAGGGTAATTTAAGGAAGCTTAGGAGGCACCTTGACAACTGGGAGGGTGTGATTCAGGAGTCTGCAGGCCTGCTGGAACCTTCCCTTGTCTTGGTTGTGAGGCTTTAAAGCCAAGGCTTGCAAGGTACACAAATAGCACTTGCTCCTAATGTCACTGCTTAATGTTCTTGTGCAAGGCAGCAGTTGGTGGTGGTTAAAACACTGGTGAGTCAGAGTAGTTGGCGGGCCAGGCTTCGGGGGAAGAGAGGGCCAGAGGTGGAGGGCATGGGCTACAACTTGGGAGGGTTGGGGGCCCTGGAAATGATGAGAAGGCGCCACCCACCTGATAGGGTTGCACTGTGAAGAAGCTTCCCAGTGATCACGTCCCGGATGTTTGTGGGTATAGATGCATTTTCTGGACATCCATTGTGGAGCAAAGCCATTTTACCACTAGGAAGTATTGGTCCATGTCTCTTAAAGGCTGAAATCCTGGTTTCTGGTGCCTTTCTCTGTCCCAGACATGATCACTGTTAGTTCCTAGTTAGAAAAGTGAGAACAGTAAACCTAGAAGGAAAGGAAGCTCAACAGGCTACAAACTGTGCTTGGGAACAAAACTAACACTGTTTCAGAACTTCAAAGTGAATTTCCCGACACCATTTACATTGTTATTAGCCTGTCTCTACAGGAAACGGAAACATCGTAACACCTGGGACAATCAGGGTCACATGGAGTTAATATTCATAAAATCCACTTTCTGCAGCTTCTCTACCCACTGCTGTGACTCTGGGGCTGGCAGGTACTGTGCACGCTCCCTAGGAGAGAGCTTCCTGATGAGCTGCCTCTTCTCTTGCAGGGGTTGGGAAAACAACCTTGATCCAGAAAGCCTGTGAGCTTTTGCAGTCATCTGGGGTGCCCGTGGATGGATTTTACACGGAAGAAGTCAGGCAGGGAGGCAGAAGGATCGGATTTGATGTAGTCACCTTGTCCGGTGCCAGGGGACCTCTGTCTCGAGTGGGGTATGATGTCCCATTTCTGTAGGGCTTTGTCTTCTAAGCTGACCTTCTGTCCATGTCTTGAGAACTTTTCTGTCTGATTCTACCAGAGCTAAGTTCTTCAAAGGTACCTTCTGGGGTCCTGGGGTGCTGCTCTGCCTCCCCCTGGGCTGAGAGCCTCCTTGGGTTCAGTGAGGGTCTTAGGGCCTCATCTGTCTTGGACTTTCATAGTAAGTAAACAGGGACACAGAAGTCCTGTTATACACAAAGCATAGGCAAATGAGCTGTGTATTCTTCACACTTTGTGATTCTTGGCCTTGTACTAGTTGTCACTGGCTCCCTGGAGCTGCAGCATTGGCCATCGGGCTGTCAGGCACATGGGTGGTGGTGTGGACATGTGGTGTAGCTCTGTTTGCTGGAGAGAAAACCCATGTGGGAGATGGGTGATTTCCTGTGCAGAGGCCAGCATCTCAGTGGAGTGGTGATTGCCAGAAATCAGTCTGTGGGGACGTGGGGGTGTAGGGACCGCCATAGAGCATGGTGTTTCTCCTTCCAGGTCAGAGTCTCCACCCGGGAAACGTGAGTGCCGAGTCGGGCAATACATAGTGGACCTGACCTCTTTTGAGCAGTGGGCGCTTCCAGTCTTGTGGAATGTGAGTATATGTGGGAGGCTGATCTCAGGATCCGGCTGTGTTTTGCTCTTACAGGGAGGTCAGTTGGACATTTTAGTTTAAGTCTTCAAGTGATTAAACCTTAATAGGAAGTGCAACCTAATTGGTTGTCACTCTGAGCTATACTGAAGTCATCACCTACATTCAGCATTGGTAGCTGTTTTATATTAGGCAGGCTCTGAGGCCCAGCTGGCCATATCCCCAAAGGTGGATCTTTCCACGTGTGTTATGCGGTCTTTATGTGTGTTGCAGCACTCAGCTTGCTGGGATTCGGGGAGGATTTCTGTGTTTGCATTCATCAGGGATGTGTTCTGGAACCTTCTTGCCTGGGGAGAGCTGTCTGGCTTTGGTACCAAGGTACACTGTTCTAACTGTGAGCTGGGAAGTGTTCCCTCCTGTTTTTCACAGGTTTGTGAGTGGTTTCAGCAGAATGGTTTGACAGAATTCATGGGGAAGGCACCTGGGCCTTGGCTGCCCACGAGGAGCTTTTAGTCACCAAGCTAATCTCTTGTTGAAAGTTTGCTCATTCTTTTAAATTTCTTGCTGAGTCACTTGTGATAATTTGTGCCTTTTAGCTATTTGTTACTATTTTTTTTAATTTTGTAAGATTATTTGTGTTGTCCCTTCTTTCATTTCTTCTTTCAATTATTTATGTCTTTTTTTTTTCTTTCTTGATCATTCTTGCTAAATGTTTATTAGTTTAGATGACAGAAGAATCAGCTGTGGTTTTGTCTTTTGCATGTATTTGTGTGGATCAGGTTCAGGGTCACAAACAAAGCAGGTGAGTTTTCTGTGTGTGACTCTCAGGTGAGTGGAAATGTAGACATGGGACACTTGCTGTGAAGGAAGAGAGCCAGGTGCCGAAGGAGTGGTGGGAGGGACTGACCCAGCCAGAGACCAGGACAGGGTTTGAGGAGTGGTATTTAAACTGAAAGGAAGAGAAGAGTGTTGTGGTACCTGTGGGTTGAGGGTGTTTAGGGAGAATATTCTAGGTGGCAGTAACAGTTACCGTAGACCTCAGAAAGCAGAGAAAGAAGGTGAGGCTGGTGAAGGATGGGGCAATGGAGTGCAGGGTCTTGTGACTATGTAGAGGATCTTACAGACTTATTCCTTTGATTTAGTTTTGTGGAAGTTGAATGGTATGGACTTGTCTTAAGAACCAATTATAAGCCTTCCAGAGTACTCCACCATACCAGGTCCTTTCAGCAGGCTGGGAGGCCCTGTGCCATCTGCCCTACTGACCTGAGACATCAGCTTGCTGTCTTCTGGCCACCCTGGTTCAGACTGTTGTCCGCACATGCTGGGGTGTGCCAGTCGTAGGCTTCTGCCCTGGCCCTTCTTGGGGCACAGTGTCTGCAGGTCTTTGCTCCTGAATTTCAGAGCTCAGCTGCAGTGTGGCATGGGGCTTTGTGCCCAAAGGCCACTGAGGAATTTGGATTCAGCCCACCAAGGACTGAATTTGGGGAAGAATCCTTTGGTCTGTGTTGGTAGGGGGCTTCTGCTCCCCAGTCACCGTGCTGAGTTGCCCAGGAGCTGACAGAGGACATGGTACTGTCCTAGTTATTTTTCTATCCTGTGTGTATCTCTCTATCTAAATGTCAAACAGAAAGTGAGATGCTTCTAATAAAATTCCGAGTGTAGAGTCCAGCTTTGAGCATTGGATCAATACAAAGAATTGATTTTTACTTACCCTGCTCAGAGCAGACATCATCCTGGGAGGAGAGTGGGCACCAACATGCTCACTGTGTGGCTGTGGGTTATATGAGAGCACTCATCTGCCTTTTTAATGAGAAACAAAGAAAAGCTGGCTTCTTGCAGCTGTCTCTGACCACCAAGTGCCCTCGTGCCGGGTGGGAGGAGTTCCCGCGGATGGTTCCCATCGGTCAGTGTCTTGGCTTTCTTCTGTAAAGCAGAACTTCCTTCATCCCATGTATTATGGTGGGATGAAGAAAGAAGGAATGTGAGTTTTTTAGGCAATAAAATAGGGGAGTATTAAGAGACAGTTTGGTACTGGTGACCAGGTAAACTGGTCATACTTCAGGCAGGTGAAACTTCATCCAGGTGCAGTGTTTTAGTGTGTGGTACTCGGGACCTATGAAAACACTATCTGACAGTGGGTCAAGGAGCATCTATAAGAAATTTCTCTGTGGTTGAAGGATAGTTTAAGCCCTTTTTAGAAAATGCTATGGAAAACATCAAGACAGTTCTGTGGTTGGGCCAGCATGGCTGTGCCTGTTTGTCCCCAGGAAGCAGGACTGGCTGGGCACTGGGAGCACTTGAGGTGGGGGCCTGGAGGGACTCAGGCAGCAGGCCTCCTCCTGCAGCTGCTCATGGAATCTGGGTGGACAGATGCAGACTGAGCTAGACCGCTGGGGGTGCCCGTGGGAGACGAAGGAGAGTGTATGGTGGATGTTACAGACCTAGGAGGACTTCTGGAAAGCCCTGGAGGCTTGACGGTTGTTGATTGCTCATCCATGGGTAACATCTTTCCTTGCTTGACCACATTTATTTTTTTCCTCAGTATTAAAGTTCTATATGCTCATGGTAGAAAATTTTTAAAAACTAGAAGGGAAATACAAGTGACATGTAATCTTACCTGCAACTTAGCCACTGATAGCATATGTTCTTCCTACCCTTTCCCGTACCTCACTGGAGAAAATGGCATATACAGTTTTGCTCCTCAGTGTGACTGAGGAATGTGGGAATGGCCTCACAACTTGGTTATCTTCATAACTGAGACTGTTTATTCCCAGTGTGGATTTTCACCCTCCTTTTCCCTCTGTAAGGAGAGGCCCTGTAGGGTCTCTGTCTCCAGCTGTGGCTCCCTGGGGAGGAAGCCCTGGTAGGGGCATGACCTTCAGGGCTCCTGTGGCCACTCATCCCTCGGTTAAGATGCACTGTGGCTTGAATTTTAGTTTTAAGGCCCTAATGAGGTTCAGTGGTTTTCAGTTGTTCATTAGGTTTTTAAAATCTAAATTGTTGGCTCATACTGCTTTCTGTTTTTTTTTCTTCTGGCTTAAAGAGATGTTTTACATGGCAAATAATGTTTTTACATTTATTGATTCTGTTTTCCTGCTTGCCACTTTGTTATTCTTTTCCCTTATTTTTACATAAAGTCTGTCCCTACTCCAAATTAATATAAAATTTTACCTATGTCTGTCTGTCTTCTTTGTGTTTTAAGCACTTGTTTTCATTCCATCTGGGCTCATTCCAAGTGTGATGCACAGTGAGACTTACCAGCTTAGTAAAGCCATTTGTTAAATGACTCATTTCTAATTAGTTTACTGTAGTTTGTAAATTGTATTTTAATAAAGTGTGTTTGTGATGTTCTTGGGTTATCTGCTCTCTTCCACTGATGTTTGATTCAGGTCAGTGCCACACTGTTTTAATTAAAACAGTAATTATGTATATTGTTTTTCTTGTCTCCTTTACTCTCATTTGTCCCTTCTTCCCCCAAGGTGTGCTGGTGGTAAGAGTGCAGCTAATGATTACTGAATGCAAACTGTCTGCCAGACACAAACCCATTCAACCTTCAAAGGCTCCCACAGCGTTCCTTTCATACAAATGGGGAAACTGAGGCACAGAGTAGCCAGGACCTTCCCAGGGGAGGTCATAAGTGGTGAAGCTGGCATGAACTGCAAGATCAAGACCTTATTGTTCATTTAAAAAGGCACATGGAGTGGGTGGAGCTATACAAAAGCAGTTACTTTGATATAAAAGATATCTTAATTTTTCAGGCAGTCTTCATTTTCCACACCAAAAAATAGTTCTTTCTCTTTTCTTTCGTTAACATTTTTCTTGGTAAGGTTACCATAGGGCTGTTGTACTTTCTGGTACTGCTGTCATTAGGGTTTTCTTTTTAATTTTGTAACGATCGAGGCTGATAAGCTACTGCTGCCCTTTTTCATAGTGGTCTTTTTGGCAGCTCAGTTTGATGCACCATAGAATTTAACATTTTATTGTTCTCCAGTTTTATTTCCTCCTCACCCCAAAAGATAACCATGTGTATAGCAACTAAACAACAGTGGAGTGACATCCACCTAAGCTCTATTTCCAGGCTGAACACTGTCTGTTTTTGCAAAGATTTCTAGAAGGAAAGGTAAGTTAGAATCAGAGCATCCATCGCAAATAAGCATAGTTTGAACCTTCTATTTCCCTGTTTTGGTTCAGATAAGGCTTTGAAGACTGTTTCTGAGGCAGATCTGCTCTTGATTGTGGAATAGACTCTTGCCTGAAGTCCTCTCTTGCAAGTTATAAGGACTCCTGTCTTAGGAAAGGAGATTATTCTCCATGATTGGTCTGGGCATGCCACCTGGCGGTTCAGGATCCAGACAATCAGGCGGCACTCAGATCCCTTCCTGGCCAGACATTGCTCTGAAAGGTCCTCTACTGTGAGTGAATGTGGCCTTTGTTTCTTATGCCTATTTCTGTCTCTCTACCTCTTGACCGTAGGTATGTATTACAGGATCAGCCAGGGAAATGGCTGCTGTCTGGTGTGAACATGAATTTCTGCTTAAAATTGTCAGTGGAGACGTTTCTGACAGCGTTTTCAGTCCACCTGGAAAATCTGTTAAGGGTTTGCTGACTTACTGGCCATGTCCCTACTGTCCCCTGGGTGGGGCTGAGGCTTTGCTGCTCCTCATCACTGGCCTTGGTGGTTCTGTGGATTGGATGTGCAGGACCATGGGCTCTTCTTACAGTCCACATGTGGCAGAACCTCACACTCCTCAAGCCTTAGCAGGATGGGGCTGTGCCCATTTCAGCTGTTGGCTTTCTCTGTGCTCACCTGGTTTGTGCATTTCTGGCACTTTCTTCCTTCCACCTCTCCCACCTCCCAGGTGAATCTGCAGAGGCGCCACACATCTGAGGAGGAGCTTCATGTGGAATGAGCTGGTGGTTTTCCTGAATCTGAATCTGCAAAAGAGTGCATGCATGTGTGTGGGGGGGGGGTTCTTGTTCTTTTTTTTATTGTTTGTAATTTT